GATCAAGTCCTTGGTATGGGGAGGAGATCAACTCCTTTGTAAGAGGAGGAGATCAAGTCCTTGGTAGGGGAGGAGATCAAGTCCTTTGTAAGAGGAGGAGATCAAGTCCTTGGTAGGGGGAGGAGATCAAGTCCTTGGTAGGGAGAGGAGATCAAGTCCTTGGTAGGGAGAGGAGATTGAGTCCTTGGCAGGATGAGGAGATCAAGTCCTTTGTAAGAGGAGGAGATCAAGTCCTTGACAAGAGGAGGAGATCAAGTCCTTGACAAGAGGAGGAGATCAAGTCCTTGACAAGAGGAGGAGATCAAGTCCTTGACAAGAGGAGGAGATGAAGTCATTGGTAGAAGGAGACAACGTCTTTAGTAGGAGGAGGTGATCAAATCCTTGGCAGGGGGAGGAGATTAAGTCTTTGCTAGGAGGATATAATCAAATCAAGGGTAGGATGAGGAGATCAAGACCTTGGCAGGACGGGGAGATTCAAGTCTTTGGCAGGACGAGGAGATCGGGTCCTTGGCAGGACGAGGAGATCGGGTCCCTGGTAGGACGAGGAGATCGAGCCTTTGGCAGGACGAGGAGATCGAGTCCTTGGCAGGTGGAGGAGATCGAGTTCTTGGCAGGATGAGGAGCTCGGGTCACTGGTAGGACGAGGAGATCGGGTCCCTGGTAGGGCGAGGAGATCGAGCCTTTGGCAGGACGAGGAGATCGAGTCCTAGGCAGGATGATGAGATCGAGTCCTTGGCAGGATGAAATCAGGTCCTTGGCAGGACGAGGAGATCGGGTCCTTGGCAGGACGAGGAGATCGAGTCCTTGGTAGGACGAGATCGGGTCCTTGGCCTGGCTAGTTTAATGGAATGCATGCTACGGGGCTTGGATTGTCCTTTCATGCTGGTCACCTGGTGCTCTACAGGTAGGCCGAGGCTATGCTATCTATGTGTACACTCTTGGCTGCCTATGAGTTATTTCTTTAGCACTGGCCTGGAGAGGTCATGTTGCTTACACAATTGAGTGTGATGGTCCCAGGTGGACCTTGTTGGTCATACAACAATATTTATGGTGGACACCGAGTCTAACACTCAACCTCAAACAGCTGGAGGCTTGAGTAAGTCTTCTCCAAAAACCCAACTCAGCAATGGCTTCCTCCGATGAAGAGGAATGGCATGTGTTGGCAAAGAACTACGATCAGAATCCATGAACATTGGATCTTGTGAGGTCTTCTTCTGCTGGAAGGACCCCAATTCCAATCTGTTTGAGCTCAGGTTCATCTCCACAGAGACTTTCCCCATTGGGAGTTCACAACGCCGTACAATAATATGAGCTCCAGCAGGGACTACAGGGGTTGTGCAGGCATTAGAAGGAGGGGG